GGCTTCTTCGCCCTACTTAAACCCCTTGGATTTTGCATTTTTTTTTTTTTTTTTTTTTTTTGTTTTGAAAGCGACCATTAGAAATATTAGAATATTGTTTACAACAGGGCTTCTTACCCATTCTACACTTCCTTAATATATTTCGTAACCAATAACTTAGTGCTCCTAGACCGGGATCTAAGCCAAAGATACCAAATGAGATGAGAGATTGGCCAAAAACTAAGGCGACATCCAAAAATGCCAGCTCCGTGTAAACTCCAGTCATTTGTTCCATTATCAGAGTCGCTACTGACATTGCTAGTCCCTTGAAAAAAAATAAAATTACATTAAGTACATTACATTGTTGGATTGACCACGTGTAATCTATAAATGTAATTGGGCATTAAGGTAACTATTGGCTTCAACCCGATAAGCTTTCTGATATTTAAATTATTTTTGAAATATTGAAGATTCTCATTATTTAAAAAGAACGTAAAATATTATCAAGTATCATCAATAATAACCATCATCATCAATCCATATATCATCGATCCATCGTTTTAACGCTAACAAATAATTTTTTTTTTTTTTTTTTTTTTTTTTTAAATAAATATACATAGATATTCAAAATTAATATATTGATGTCGTGTACAAGTTTTATAATTTTTATTTAAAATTTATACGATGCTCACACTGCTATAAAAACTTTTACACTACTAGGTATATTGAATTTTATGGAAATAGAGAAACTTACTATAAACATAGAACACAGGAGTAATATGAGTAGAACCAAATGTCGCAGAACTTGTCTATCGTCCAAAGTCTCTGTTTCATTTTCATTTTCTAATTGACAGTGTCTATTGCAGTCATGATCCTCATTGGTTCCACACAATTCATTGGGACAGTCGTTGAGATTCACGCTGAAAAATGATGAAATTACACGACGATATACGCGATTCACAATATTTTCCCATTGTTTTCAATTATTACCCGGATGAATTCAATCTGTTTGTAGTAGTTAAAAGATCTTCGACGTCTACGATATTTCTTCCTGTTGATAATCCGCCTGAATTAGTTACCAATGAACTCAAATTACTGTAAGTTGATAATGTTACGTTTCTTTCATAATATCTTTGTCGAAGTACTAAACAGCCTACGGTAACTAAAGTAGTTTTAAAGATTAAAAATTTAAAACAATAATTTTTCAAATATTTAATAATAATCGAAAGAACTCGATTCGTAACTGTACTTACCAAAGAAGCAAAAAACTAATATGAGAATCGATACTGCGACTTGCACTCTACCAAATTGGAAATTTGGATTGTTAAGTTCGTTGTTGGTCGGTGTAACTGGTATCACCGTTAGACAAATTAAGCTTATAATAATAACAGGAACTCTAAAAGCATCGATAAAATTATAACAGGCTTACAGTCGAAGAATTATAATTTGTAAACCGATGAATACAAACCCCCAGCATATAATGAGTAACCACTTTTGTAAATTTTCGATAAAAGCAGTAGTTTGGCAATTTAAAAACAAAAGAGTTATTGCAATTGCTGCTGTCAAAAAGCGACTGGCGTAAACACCAAGAGTTATTAAAATAAACTGTGCATACCTGTAATTAAGAGCTCCCTTAACATTTACACGTATTAATTTTAATAACGAGGAAGACTAATAAAATTTTCTTTACCATACAAAAGTTCCGATACTATTATCATCTAATCTTGCCCAAATAATTACACCGACTCCAGTTATAAACTAAAAAATCAAGAAAATTGATATGAGACATTTGTAATACGTTTGATAAATTACAAATGCATCCAATAGTTAATTTTTTATTTCTGATCTCCATACCTGTGCTAAAATCAAACACAATGTGCATCTGTGAGTTTCACTTTGAAACGTTTTTCTTTTAATAATAATAAAGCAGATCAGTAGCCATAAACATGCTGTTGTGGACGCTGCACTTGTATCGAGAGAAAAAACTTTCAGTTGTTCGGCATAATCTACTGGAGATCCTGCGCTTCCAATAGCGTTAATTAATTTTGCGGATATAAATATTAGAGGTGCAGCTAAAAATGTACAAACAACCATAGCCGAGGCAATTAAATCTATGTCAATATTATAACGAAGAGTGAATATAAAAAGAGCCGGAGCGGTTGGAATTGTTCCATAAAGAAAGCCAAATGTACTCAAATCGGATGTTTCTGTAACGTTGTCTCCAGGACTCAAAAATATAACAGATTCTCTTATTATGAGCGGAAGTACTATAAGTTTTATCAAAATAAGTATTCCTGGTATGACTAGAGCACCACCTTTGAGCTTATGAATTTTGCCAACCATCATAAGGCCGAGTAAAAACAAAGCGGTCGCTGAGAAAGCATTCCCAAATACTTCTAAGAGTACTTGAATCATAGTTGGAAGATTGTGATTAAAGATAATATTCCCTAAAATTCCAAGGAATGTCATTAAAAGCACAGGATTAAATGCTATCCCCTTGACAATAGCTTTGAACATGTCGATGTTATTGCTTTCTAAATTATTTACTGCCCCTTGATGGCGTTTTGCTATTTCTAAAAATACAAAACCTATTGGGTTTAAAGCGACCAACGATATAGGTGCCATTAAATATAAATATGCCGAATATTCCGGATGACTGGAGCCATATAAAGCATTTACTGAAATTAAATTATAAGGTCATATATATCGGTATAAATATAAATAAAGTATTTATAACAATTGAATTCTCACTCATTGGATATCCAATAGCAAAATCATTACTTTGCGTTGTAAATATAGCAAATAGAGCTGAACGTCCAAAATTTGACGGTCTTGTACTTATTATAGATATTATCAAAACCACAAAAAAAACTATACTTTTAGCTATAAATACTGCTAGTAAAAACTTCCAATTAACTTTTAAAAAATCTAATTTGGCGATTGATAAGAAAATCAGTGCTGGTAATGAGAAAGTGCCAATAAATGTATTTAATCCATTTGCTTCTGTTTTTGTAATTACTTCCAATCTCCCAGCAATATACCTAAAGTACGGGTAGACAAATGTTACATATAATTGTATAAATTTTATATAACGTATACATAATCAAATTTTGACTAAAAACAAATTTTAAATAAAAATACTTACCCACATATTATAATACCAAAACATTGTCCTAACGCAAGATACAGACTGTCTAATGGAGAATCTTGCTCGATTAGAGACGTATTCATTATTTCATAGAATTAAGTCAATATAATGTTTAACGATTCTGTAAAAATTGTCCCACATTAATGAAAGATTGTATTACAAAATTAGTAAATATATTATGATATAAATTAAATGATTAAACACTACAAAATATCTTTCGATTATTTGGTAACCGATCGTTGTTAAAATATAGTTAATACTCTTATTATCATGATAATAATAGATAATTAATATATTAAATTATTAATACTGAGTATTTCTAAAATTTGGGTGCAAAATTTTTTATTCATTGTAGCTTACATTAATACACAGCATCAAAGAAATTACATTTTCCTACTTTATTAATTATAAAATTAAGAATTTTTAGCCCTTTTTCCATCCTTCTCAAATAATAAATCACAGTAGATTACAAATTGCAATTTGCAGTTTATCACATACGGTACAGGGCACAGTATACGCGCCCACTGTTTTTCTGTCCTCTCCTTCTCCCACTCTCTCGCACTCGCACTCTCTCTCTCTCTCTCTCTCTCTCTCTCTCTCTCTCACTCACTCTCTCTCTATCTCTTACTCTAACTCTAACTCTCTCGCTTTACTAATCCCTCTCGAAACTGCTCTTACGTCACATGATAATCATATTAATTATAATTTGAACAGCTGTTTTATCGACCGCATGAGTTTGCAGCTTTAAAAGTATCGACAGAGTTCCAAGTATTTCGTTATGCTCAAAAACTGTTCATCAGACAACAAAAGAAATATTATATTAATGCATTTCTCTGATTCTTTTTTTACAAGTTATAACTAAAAAAATCCCTGCTAGTTAATTTACTATTTTATGTGTATGTGATCATATAAAACTTAAAATATATATCAATTAATAGTTGATGTGATTTAAATACACAACACGATTACGTTTCTTTTCTATTTATTTTTTTGACCTCAATCCCCCTCTCTCTCTCCTTTCTCACTATCCTACTATTACTTTCTTCTTTCTACTTAATCTATATATATTATTATCTATATATATATTAATATATATAATATTATATATATATATATATATATATATATATTTAAATCTTTTTTATTAACAAAATTATAATTGTTTTATTAAAGTAAAAAGTTAATTAATACTTAATAAATAAAGGGCAGAATATAATTTATAATTAATTATCGGGAATAAAAAAAACACGGTTAGTAAAAGACGACACACACACGCACACGCGAACGCACACACAAACAGATTTTTATATAATAATTCATATAATTTGCAAATAAAATTATTCTTTTTCTTAGATTCCATAAAACTAATATTTATCACATTTTATTTACAGCGTTATTTTTCTGTTGCATTTTTATTCTAAATGCCCAAAAATATCATTATTTATCATTATTCTCTGAAGCATATTAATTTTTAAAAACAATTATTAAAGATTTTGTCGTTTTAAATTTAAATTTAAAAAGATTTAAAGTCGTTGAAATTGAACGAAACAAGAATTTTTAAAATATGCATTTTTTTTATTTATGTAGAAAATTATAGAGACATAGCAAAAAAAAAAATTAAATGCTTTGAATGTCGATTTAATTTTTCTCGTTTTAGATTTGTTTTCGATTTCAATTGTCTGCTATAAATAATCACAATAGACAAACTAAAAAAAAAACAAAAATCTGGTTTTCAAAATCAAGAATAATGAAGCAGTATTATTTATTTGTAATAAAAATTATTTATAAATAGTAATTTGTAATTTATAAAAACAATCGATTAGCGAATAAATAAACATTCTGGTAGTATGTATTATTGCAGAATATCTTATTATTATAATAACGTCGATTATTAATTTATGATTATTGATTTGTAATGATAAGATAAACATTTTTACATAGCAGAATTGAATAAATGCAAAGGAAATAATAAAATAGAGACTTAATATCAAACAATTATTATATAATTTACAAAATCATATTTGTCCAATAGTATTTTCTCGCAAATTATTGTTCATTACGTAAACGTTCGATGCGAGTTACTCATTCCACTTCGAGTTGTGAATGACATTACAAGCAATTTCTAAGTCAAGATTGGAAGTATCTAGTTTAATCTGACAATGTAGGTCAAATTTTATTTATTTCATTACTTTATTATTCCATAAATTTTTGAAAGTATAATATTATTTTTTATAATTATGTAAATTGAGTGACAGCGGTTGATCAAAGAATCGCGAGCGCTGACATGTAATTAAGCCAATTGCAAAATATGTTAATAATCGAGTCGATGATATTTTTAACATATTTTAACAATTTTTTAAATTTCATTATCGTTATTCACGAATATATTATTTGTATATATTATTTGAATTTATAGTGGAGATTGCATCGAAGCATATTGAAATTAATGTATTACAAAGCCATTGCACAAAATAATAAAAATATGTGTTTAATGTTTAAATTGAAATTTATTTTTAAGGGACATATTAAAAAAAAAAAAAAATGAATATATAATGAGTCGTCGATGATACATGTTTGTTGTTTTAATCTCTTTCGCTCTTATTTAATAACGCACACGGCTCTCAAAACCCAAAATATAAAAATGTTGTTATGAGTTCTATATATCGTCTAATGTTAGAAATTTACATTGATTTTCAGAATTAATTGCTAAAAACTAATAGTATTTAAAATTGTGATATCCCCAGAAGAATACAAATGCCTATTCAATTAATAATTAATTATCAAAGCACGATTTGGTGCAACGTAATGAACATTATATCGTTTCTTAATTGTTCATGTAATACATCTTCGGTATTAAACAATAATTTTATTTTATACAGTACTATGAGCTACGTAGCATAAGTATATGCATAATCCGTCAAAAAATCACGTATCAGTGGTAATGATAATGTTTACGATGTATGTAAATTATCATATAGAAACTTCAAATGGACGAGAGATGTTGTAAATTTTACTATTATAATTTATAGTTGCATTAATTAATTAAGCAATTATCAAGAAGAATTAATCATAAATGTACAGTCACTGAACAAAATTGATAACTTTATTTCAATAATAATTCAATTTATCTGTTAAATATTGTAGCTATAATTCGATAACAAATACCTTAACATTTAATACTTAAAATTTATAACAACTTTCATTCTTTGAATGTAATCACAAATTACGCCTCAATTGGATTTCTTTATCCGACATTTGAAACTGTTTCAATCAAAGGAAATATCATTATTAAAATTAATGTTTTTCAAAGACGTAATCGTATTTCGTGATTATCATTAATGAAGTTGAGTGATTTTTCGATTATCGATTATTATATTTGAATTCAAAATAAAATAAAATATTTATTTTTGGTTTTTTTTTTTTTTTTTTAACTATTTTATATATAATTTTGTTTTTTTTTATTAAATTTATTTGTACAAAATGCTTTTAATTATTATAAAATTTATTATAAAATTTATTACTTTGTTGTAAATAATTTTTAGCTTTGATTGCTATTAAAGTTAAATAATAATTCGGTTACTTTCTCGTCTAAAGCATTGGGCAATAATGTTTCTATCCTTTAAAGCGATACAATTACTATATATTTTTAATTAATTAAATATCAATTGAAATCCCTGAAATTCTACCCATTATATGCAACTTTTTATAGGAGATGAATATCTCTATTGATCAGCTAGCGATTCCGATTTATATCTAATATTGTTACATAATTAACGGCTTGTGTACGACATATTTTTATTTGATAAAATATTTTAAATTTAATTTAAACACCTTATACATATACTTCATTGGAATTAGAGGAATGCAATACATACTTTAAAAAAAAAAATAATAATATCTGTTATTTAATAAATTATTAAACTTGTTACATAGTAAAGCATCTTAAAGGAATGCTTAAAATTAAAAAATAACACGTTGTCAAAGACAGTTATTGCGTAATAATTGTAAGGCATAGGTCTAGTTATAAATTGTTGAAAGTTATCATAGATTCTGTCTGTCTGTCCCGTTTCAATTTCATTCTGATCTTTTCTATCACAGATTTTTATTAATTAAAATTTGTAAAATTAAATTGATCGACATGTTTGTCTCGTAAAAATAAATTTTCAAATTTATAATGACGATGTTAATTGCACTTCACTCTCCGCGGTTCCTGTCACTTGTTAAATTAATTTTATAATTTATTCTACTTTACTTTAAAAAAGTTTTATTGCAATAGTAATTTACTTTTTACACGCTGTATTAGCAACTCAGTACAATTTGTTTTAATTCTAGAACATGTAAAATTGTTGAAAATATACATTATATGCGCGATAATTATACGTTTCCTGTAACTACTTATGTTTACCAAAACAATATTCGTAAAATGTTTTCTTATTACCAGCTTAGCTTTTTATCATCTTATATTGCTAACTCAATTTATTTAATACTTACTTACGTTGCTTGTAATATTGAGAAGAGGAATAGAAGATTTGCAATAATTTATTTCACCACGGGCAATTAATTTTTATTATCGTAATTGGATTTTACGAACGTTTCCTTCATTGACTCTTCTTTGTCTTTTATCTTTTCTTCTTTATAACATCGATTATATGAACAAAAAAAATTGTTATATTGTCATACGATGGAAAAATAGTGTAGTTAATATTTTACAATGTCGAGAATATTTTTAAAATAGAATTATTGTAATATATTAAAAGGAACAAACTATTTAAAAATTGACGAAAGTATTAGAAAGAAAGTTGTTGAGAAAGCTGAAAAAATTATAACATCCGATTATTAGACTGGAAAAGATCTTAATCAATCGTAGTGTAACTGGCAATTCGTGAAATCCAATTTAGGAGATAAAGCGCCATGAAATCCTCATTCTGACTCATATTAAGAATTCTGATACTTAAATGCAAATGCAAGAAATATTGTCGTAGATAAAAGTTGAAATCTTCACTAAGAAGGCAATTAGACTATAATTTTTGTAACAAACGGAAGAAATAAATCAGCTTGAAATGTGAAAATTCAGGCATAAAGTGTCTTAAACATAATACATTTTCATATTACAATTTTTTTATTGTATTGAAG